TTATGTTGTGTTGTGCTCTATATTGTTATTGTTGTTGTTATGTATTGTAGTAACAGTACTGGAGTAGGGCATTTTTTTTATGGGTTTTGGCATTGTTTAGCAGGCATGTTAATGTAATTGCTATTTGCCTTAGAAAAATATGAAAAAGTCAGTTGTTTGTTGTATGTTGTCGTTGTTGCTGTTATTATGGTTGTTGTACTTATTCTTTTTATGTTTTTTAATTTAAAATGAATTCTTTGTCTTTTTTTATTCTATTTAGTTCTTCTTCTCTGTTGTTGTCTTCAACTCCCAACAACAACAATAACAACAACGCGCAACACACGACACAAGTAATATAACAAGAAACCAACGTAAGTGTTTCTTCTGGGTGCGGGTGGTGTTTGGTGTTTCGTTAAAGTATTCCGCTCTCTTGGACAAAGTTTTGTTTCTTTAGTTTCTTGCTATCGTGTTTTAAGTGAAGCGCCAGAGGTTGGCGCAATGAGTGCAAGCAAAAGAAAAAAAAGAAAAAAAAAAAAAAGCAAAGAAATATAAACTTTATAATTACACTGAGCAAATACCGAGAGAAAAAGAAGAAGACAAAAAAAATGTAATATAAGTTGGTTGGGGTTATTCTCTAGTGCAATTCTTCCGATTATATACAAACATATATAGCATTAAAAATTACTTGCTTCGGGTACAAATGGTGGTGATAAAACACGAATGTATAAAAGCAACAACTAGAACATGAAACGTGCAAAAGGTGTTAAAATGTTGACGGTTTATAATCATTTAGTTTTATGAATTCAGTGAAGTGTTAATGTTTATTATGCCAGCTTGGCTATGTGGAGGGAGAATGGGTTAAAATTAAATATGGTTGGCTTTCTTCCTTCATTTTTTATATTTTTTTATTGACGCCTATTATTTCATATTTTCTTATGACGTTATTGTAAGAAGTTTGCACCCTGTGGCCTCAGGTATTTGTTTCAACAATAAGAAAGTGTTGGTCATTCTTTTATTTGAAACACTACGGTAAATGTCAAAGATTAAAAAAGTGATTTATTTTCTATGATCGTAAAGCGTAAAATTTTTAACGTTGACAGAAATAAAGTCACGACGACGACGCACTAACAAACTTATTTTCATGGTAAGAACGACGACCTATTCCCTACTTAGGCAGTAGTCAGATGCCGCAAGGCAATTGGGGGTTGACCATATCGTAGGCGAAAGCATTTCTACATTCACAAACGTAGCTAGAACTGTTCTTCTTCAAGGCACAAACCTTGCTCAACACTGCTATCATCACACACGGTCACAAAAGTCATTCGTAATCCTTTAAATTTCAACGGAAACACCTATTAGAAGATCATGAAGATTATCATGAAGTCAGTTCTTTTAAATCTAGTTTACTGGCAACAGTGCGGAGTTGTTATGGTTTCATTTTAGTGAAGAATTTGCAATCATTTTCGTACCATTAGCAATCTTTTTGCTGCCTCATGTTATGTTAGTATATCCAGAGCTATACTATTCTCTGTCCTATCTCTACCTTTCTATGCCGTTCTGTGCTACTCTATGCTATGTGCTATTCCGTAGAGTTCTTTTTTTCTTGTATAAAAATCTGGGTGTTTATTTATACCCCTTCTTATATAGCGGGTAATAATAAGAAATTCCAGGAATTTCGCTTGTTCAAGTAAGTGACAGAAGTGTTTGATTGCCGGGTATTCAGGTGAAGCCTCTTAGCCGTACATTCTGCGAGATATAAACTTTTAGCAAAAAAAAACTAATGGATTCTATTTAAAAATTTTTCCTTAATAATGGCTCCTATAGCAAAATTTTTAAATTCATCTCCCCTTTTACGTCTCCTGAATAGTTTTATACAATTTTTATAGGCGTGGCATTCG